CAGACCGGTTCAGACCGGCTGGACCGGTTCAGTCAGTTATTTTCAGTTTCAGTCCCGGTTTTCAATTTCAGTGTTATTTTCAGTTAAATTCCGGGTCAAGTTCAGTTCAGTTAATTAATATCCGTTCAGTTTCGTACTTAGCCGGTTTCAGTTACACCGATTAAGTCCAAATGCCATGTCAGATTCTATAAAGCATCTTAACATAATTAAACCACTAAATTATCAGTCTGAGCATAGTCAATAGTAATTGTTTATATTATTTTCAGTTTGATCAGATATCAGCACTGCCATTCAGTTTCAGTTTCAGCAGTTCAGGTGGGGACTCAGACTAAGTACTACATTGTTTATTATTACGCTACCATGGTCGAGGTATCTATAATCAGTATCCGCTCGGAATGGTCGCCGGTCCATTCTGGGTTCAAGTGGCCTAATCTAACCACTAGAGTGTGCACATGGTCCGGTATTAGTTTGTGCCGGGAGATTGCGGTATTAGTTTGTGCCGACAGTATTCAGTTATCAGTTACGTGACTTATGTCACGAGATCAGACCGGTTTCAGATTTCAGATATCAGTTTCAGTTTCAGTTCAGTTGTATATGCTTAGTTCATGATATTGTTATTATTTTCAATGTTTACATTAGTATGAGTTTCTGCGGAGCACAAGTGTTTTAGTGCTCACGCCCCACACCTTTCATGTTTTTCAGGTCGCAGGGTCGGAGATGAGGAGTGAGCGGGCGAGCTGTTCAGGATATTTATGATTATTGTATTTATGTTTAGCCACGCTTATTTCCGCTAAAACTTTCAGAACTTATTATCAGACTTTGCTCCGATGTTAGTCGGATAAGACATTATGACCGTTTTTATGTATCAGTTTAAAATTTAACGGTTTTTCAGAAAAATTAAGTTTTCTTCACGGTAGCATCCCGAATCAGCTTTCGCAAAATAAGTATTTTATTTATTTATTCAGAAAATTTGCGAAAAATTGCGTACTCTGATAGGTTAGAAAGTCGGGGTGTTACAAATTGGTATCAGAGCGCACGTTTCTGCGTCTCTGAAAAGTTTTCAGTCAATAATTTTCAGAAAAAACTGAACCGTTACGCTCACGCCTCGCCGACTCCAGGTAAGTGCTGATTCAGTTTTTCAGTTATAAAGATATTACTTTGTCTATGCTCATAAATCAGTAATCAGACTTAATTAAGATGCTCGATTCTGATTCAGATTTTAGGGTTCGGATATAACTCTAGTATCCAGCACATTCAGACTTGACTTTAGAGATCAGTATATTCAGGCATGACTCTAGACTTTAGAATCTTCCGTTGCGACTCTAGAGTTTCTTCAGGATTCATGTCAGTAATTATCAGCCATTTTTGGCAACTCGTCAAGAGATCTGTGTGCCTTAGTAATCAGTCAGAATATATTTTCATGCGTTCAATAATTTTGAACTTTCTCAATATTCAGATGCCGCCACGTAGGGAACCCGATCATCCGGCTCCTACTCAGGCTACAGTGGTCGCCCAGTTCCGCGACTATCATGCCGAAAAGTTCTCAGGGCAGGGAGATCCACGCGTAGTGGACGAGTGGATTCAGGGTATGGAGTTTATCTTCGAGGTCATGGAGTGCCCTGAGAGATATCGCGTCATTTGTGCTCAGCTTCAGTTCACCGGTGATGCCAGGCTCTGGTGGAACGCTTACTGGGGCATGCGTCCCGGTGAGAAGGCGGGATGTACGTGGGAGATGCTCAAGGAGTTAATCCATGAGAAGTACTATCCCACATACTACCGAGCAGAGATGGATCATCAGTTTCTATCGCTCCAGCAGGGTACTCGTACTGTTGACGAGTACGAGAGGGAGTTCACGAGACTTGCAGCTGTCGTTCCTGATTTGGTCCGCACGGAGGCCCAGCGAGCGCACCGTTTCATTGACGGGCTTTACCCAGCAGTCCGTCATAACATCGTAGGGCACGGGACTCAGACATATGCACGTGCAGTCTCCATTGCTCAGGAGGTGGATGCTAGCCTTAGGAGGGAGGCAGTTCGTGGTCAGATTCATCCATCCGTCCCTGCTCAGTCATCTTCAGTTCCACCGATGTCAGCTTTACCATCTACCCAGCCTCCCAAGAACAACAAGAGAGAAGATAAAGGTGCCCAGGCAGATAAGAGGGCCCGGCGGAGGCTTCAGCAGATTCCACAGTGCCCGACATGTGGACGGCTTCACCGAGGCGAGTGTCGCTTTGGTCAGGATGTGTTCTATTATTGTCACGAGGCCGGACACTTTGCGAACCGTTGTCCGAAGAAGGCGCAGCAGCCTCAGCAGCCACCGCAGCAGCAGCAGCAGCCCCGTCAGCAGGCACAGAGGCAGCCCCAGCAGCAGCAGCAGAGGGGCAGACAGCAGGCCAGAGTTTACGCCATCGATCAGGCAGAGGCCGAGCAGCAGCCAGGTACCATGTCTGGAATGGTTGTTCTTAATAATGTTCCTGTATTTGCTTTATTTGATACTGGAGCGACGCATACTTTCATTTCACGACGATGTCTTGACGCCATCGGAGTTCGCGCTACTACCGCTATCGATCCTCTCGAGGTGAGTTTGGCCTCGGGACGAAAGATAGTAACTTCAGCTAAAGCCTCAGATCTTAGCCTTTCCATCGGTGGCCGAGTTTTGCCTACCGACGCGTTTGTTCTTGAGATGAAGGACTTCGACCTTATTCTCGGAATGGATTGGCTATCCTTTTATCATGCAGATATCAAATGTCACGACCGGGAGATTACTCTTTATCTTCCGAGAGACGAGTCGATTACTTTCTTCAGCTCCAGAAACCGTTCTTTGCCTCATGTTGTTTCGATGGCGAAAGCCACTATGTTGTTGCGACGAGGAAACTACCAGGGTTATCTGGTGAGCCTTGTTGATGATTCCCAGAAAGCGCGTTCACCTCACGATGTTCCCGTCGTTCGAGCGTTTGTGGACGTATTCCCAGACGAGCTTCCAGGAGGACCGCCTAATCGGCAGGTGGAGTTCTCTATAGATCTTATTCCAGGGGCCGGTTCGATATCCAAAGCCCCGTATCGTATGGCGCCTAAGGAGTTGCAGGAGCTTAAGACGCAGATTCAGGAGCTGTTACGACTCGGTTTCATCCGACCGAGCGCGTCACCTTGGGGAGCACCCGTTCTCTTTGTTAAGAAGAAGGACGGATCCATGCGCATGTGTATCGACTACCGGGATCTTAACCGGTTGACGATCAAGAACAAGTACCCGCTTCCCAGGATCGACGACTTATTTGATCAGCTGAGGGGAGCCTGTGTGTTCTCGAAGATTGATTTGCGATCAGGCTACCACCAGCTGAAGATTAAGGAGTCAGATATCGCTAAGACCGTTTTCAGGACTCGTTACGGCCATTACGAGTTCGTCGTCATGCCATTCGGTCTCAGCAATGCGCCAACAGTTTTCATGGACCTCATGAACCGTATCTTCCATTCCTACCTCGATCAGTTTGTTATTGTCTTTATTGACGATAGTCTTGTCTACTCGAAGAGCCAGAAGGAGCACGAGGAGCATCTGAGGGTGGTTCTTGAAACCCTCAGACGAGAAAAATTGTTTGCAAAATTCTCCAAATGCGAGTTCTAGCTCCAGCGAGTATCCTTTCTGGGTCATGTGATTACTCAGGCAGGTATCGAGGTGGATCCTTCCAAGGTTTCAGCTGTTCATAATTGGTCAGCACCGAGGAGTCCGTCCGAGGTTCGCAGTTTTCTCGGTCTAGCTGGATACTATCGCAGGTTCATCGAGGGCTTTTCCAAGATCGCCCTCCCTCTATCCCAGCTGACTAGGAAGTCTGTGAAGTTCGAGTGGACTGACCGATGTGAGTCAAGCTTTCAGGAGCTCAAGAGGAGATTAACTTCAGCACCGGTGTTGACTATTCCCGATCCTTCTCGGAGTTTCACTATCTTCAGCGATGCTTCGAGACAGGGCTTGGGATGTTTCCTTATGCATGACGGCCAGGTCGTTGCGTATGCTTCCCGTCAGCTTAAGCCGCATGAGCAGAATTATCCGACGCACGACTTGGAGTTAGCAGTAGTCGTTCATGCTCTCAAGATTTGGCGACACTACCTTTACGGCGGTCACTGTGAGATTTTCACAGATCATAAGAGCTTGCAGTATATCTTTACTCAGAAGGAGCTCAACATGAGACAGCGCCGTTGGTTAGAGCTCGTCAAGGATTACGACTGCTCTATTCAGTACCATCCGGGAAAGGCGAACGTTGTTGCAGATGCCCTAAGCCGACAGGTGAGGGGTGATTTGACGTACGTCATTACTCAGCAGAGTCCTTTGATTCAGGAGTTTGCCCGGATGCAACTTCAGGCGATTGATGCACTTCCCATAGCAGTTTCGGGGAGTACCAGTGCCAGTGTTAGTGCTATGCAGCTTCAGCCGATGCTGAGAGAGAGAATCCGGCGAGAACAGGCTTCTGACGAGTTCGTTCGTGTCATGGAGGCCAAGGTTCGCGCCGGAGGCGTCCAGGGTTTTCAGCTAGGTGCCGACAGTGCCCTAAAGTTCAGAGGCAGGATTGTGGTCCTGAAAGTTGAGGTGTTGCGGAAGGAGATTTTATCAGAGGCCCATACCGCACCCTATCTAGCCCATCCAGGGAGCACGAAGACGTATCACACCTGAAGGGGTCGTTCTGGTGGCGAGGCATGAAGAAGGACGTCGCCGAGTTCGTCAAGAGATGTTTAACCTGTCAGCAAGTTAAAGCCGAGCATCAGAGTCCGATTGGCCTCCTGCAGCCACTGCTGATTCCGAAGTGGAAACGGGAGGAAGTCACGATGGACTTCGTTACGGGATTGCCGAGGTCGTCTGAACATCACGACGCTATCTGGGTCGTGGTCGACAGATTGACTAAGGTTGCGCATTTCTTACCCATTTCGATGAGGATGTCCATGGATAAGTTGGCTGAGATATATGCCCGTGGGATCTTTCGACTCCACGGAGTGCCCGTTACGATTGTATTATACCGAGATCCCAGATTCGCCAGTCGATTCTGGCACAGCTTGCATGAGGCGATGGGCACGAAGCTTGAGTTCAGTTCAGCCTACCATCCGGAGACAGACGGTCAGTCAGAGCGGACTATTCAGACGCTTGAGGATATGCTTCGCGCTTTGGTTGTTGTCAGGGGTGCTAAGTGGGAGTCGTTGTTGCCGTACGCAGAGTTCGCGTATAACAACAACTACCATTCTTCTATTCAGATGGCTCCTTACGAGGCACTTTACGGTCGCAAGTGTCGTTCCCCTCGCTATTGGGACGACGTAGGAGAGCTACGAGTACTCGGTCCCCAGTTGATCGAAGAGACAACAGATCAGGTCGAGTTGATCCGGCAGAGACTCAGGACAGCTCAGAGTCGTCAGAAATCTTCCACCGATCATCATCGACGAGACATTCAGTTCGAGGTTGGCGAGCCAGCCTTTCTCCGAGTTCGTCCGATTCGCGGAGTTGTGCGATTCGGAAAGAGAGGGAAGCTGCACCCTCGGTTCATCGGTCCGTTCGAGGTTCTCGAACGAATAGGCGAGGTCGCGTATCGCTTAGCCCTACCTCCCGAGTTATCAGGCATTCATAATGTTTTTCACGCATCTATGTTGCGTAAGTACGTGTGCGACCCCGATCACGTCATTCCTCATTCAGATATTCAGGTTCAGTCAGATCTTTCGTACGAGGAGCGACCGGTAGCTGTTCTAGACCGTCAGGTTCGTCGGCTCCGGAAGCGAGATATTCCCCTCGTGCGTATTCAGTGGGATCGCCACGGAGCTACTTGGGAGGAAGAGTCCGATATTCGCGCTCGTTTTCCAGATTTTCAGTTTTGATGTATGTATTTTCAGTCGTGTTCTGAATTTTCGAGGACGGAAATTTTGTAAGGAGGGAGGATTGTAATATCCCGACTATTTATCAGTATAAATTATATTTTTAGTTCCGATATTGTTTTTCGGAATTAATTATTTTCAGTTATTTCAGTCGAAATTACCGGAAAATATTTTCGACGTACCGTTTACGTTTGAAATAATTTTGGTAATTAAGTGTTATGCTTAATTGTTTGATTAAGCCTTAATTTATGATTAATGGTAATTAATCACCATTAGCATGCTAATTGCCGTGTGCATTGTCTTTAGCATTGGAGAGTACCAATTCATGTGCAAGGGCCGTGTGATGTGTGAGTGTTTGGATTGTAGTCAAGACTCCTTCCACCTAGCCTAAGATGCCGTGCGATTTTTTTGTGTAGCATGTTAGTGTTTTGTGCCAAATTTCCTACCACCTTGTCCTATGTGCCGTGTGAATAAGTGATGTGTACATTTGTTCCAAGAAATCCTTCCACTTAGCCCTTAAATGCCGTGCTCATGTGAGTGAGATTTGTCCTCAAGCCTTCTCCATTTTGTAGCAATTCACGTGACTCCATGAGGTAAGAAGAGGGGTGCATGGTGGCCATGTGTCTTAAGCTTTAAGTTGCATGAGTGTTATGTGTCCTATGCTTTGACCATGTGATTCTCCCTCACTTGTCTCCCCTTCGGCCATCATATAAGAATGGACTTGAAGACATTTTCCATCTTCTTGCACGCCCAAAGTTCATAATGCCGAGAGATTAGAGAGCATATTGTGTGAGTTGGAGTGTTGTTCGTGAGCTACCGCCGAGTGCCATCACGCAAGCCGCCAGCCATAGCTTGTCCGAGCTCTCGCGCATAGGCAGCAAGCAGCCCGACGTACCGCAAGCCATCCGCACGGTGGTCCGAGAACACGCACACGACAACGCACGCACGCACGCGGAGAGTCACGGCCAAGCACGGGAGTTCGAGAAGTTTAGCCTCCGGAGCTTAATAAGAGGTAACTCCCGACGGTTGTTG